AAAAACTATATTTTAAAAAATAATAAAATAATTTTGTATGTCTAAAATTAATACAATTTATACGTCAATTATAACTCAATTTAAAAATTTAAAAAAACAAATGAATAACCATGTCCTTTCCCTTCAAGGATTTTTCAATCAATAATTCAACTTGGGCCACAGACTACAACATCTGACCATGGTGATGACATGCTTCTGATTATTTGATCATCAAACTTTTGTACATCCTTAGCTTACTAAATAAAAAAATGCATTGCTACAAACACTTCAATATAAAAATGTACAAAGAATATAAAGAGGAAATGTACAAATGAAATACAAATGTCCAATAATATAAAATATGTACACTCTCCTTAATAATCAAAGAAATATAAATAAAATATTTTCACCTACAATATTGGCAAAATATTTTTAAACTGGTCAAAAACTAGTATTGGTGAAAGTCTGAAAAATAAACACATTCATGTACCATTGATGAGATTATAAATTAGGTACAACTTTACTGAATGGTAATTTGACAAAAAGTATTAAAATTTTTAATGTCGATCTCCTTCAAGTTTGCTATGCTATTTCCAAAAATATATTATGGCCATAATTTTATATCAATAAATATATTGTTGAATAAAAAACCAACATGCATAATAAGAACCAATTTATAGAAAATTAAATGTGTATACACACACCTCCGTTTCACAAAGTAAAATACAATTTAACAAAAATGTTAACATTGAGTGAGATATAGGCATATTTTTACTTTCTTATCCTTATGAGTTGGTGTTATTGAGATTTTTAAATACTTAACATGTCTAATTTGTCCCAAAACAATAAAACTACTTCTAAAATTCAGTATATCACTTACACATTAAAAAGTAGTCACCTAAATCCTGGCTAACTTGCTATTAATCTGGCAGCAAAAGTCAAATATTAACTTACAAAGAGAAAAAGCTCTGAATTACAAAGCAACTTCAAACAAGAATCTTGACCTCAAATGAAGAACCCATAAACATTTTCACAAAAGCATGTCCAACTTTCCCCAAAATAGGTACTAGATCAAAGGTAAACAGCAAATAAAAACACTGCCACCTCCCTGTATAATTAAGCTTTAAAAGCTTTCAAGCTAAATTTTTAAATCCTGCTTAAAGCTGTCTCTAAGCCACACCCATTTTTTATCTCCATCCCCCCTTTTTAAAAAAATTTGCTTTGACAAGAAGGTTCAAGCACCAAATGGGTACTTGAATTCATTTATGTAGAATTTGAATTATTTAAAAATGAAATATGAAAGGAACTGATACCAAGCTAATGCCCAATTTGTTTTAAAAATGCAATTGCTACTAATTAAGAACATCACAATAGTGAATGGAAAAATTCAGGTTTAGTTATTGATATTTATATCTTGTAGGGCAAAAGTAAGAGTATTTCTGAGGTGTCAAGGAAGATAACTTAAGATGTTACCTAGTCTAACACTTTGTTTTCCTGGAACAAATACCTATTTCCTCAAAGAAAGAAATTTCTCCTATTCTTAAAGATCACTAAAGATAGTTATTATTTAAGTCTACTC